TTTAGAAATAATGAAAATTGTCTAATTGTTGGTATGTAAGGAATTATGTCGTTACGTAGCAAGAAGGTAATTTGTAAAAATGATAAAATTGAAATGTTCCACAATATGAATTTAAAGTAGTAAAAAAGATACTTTCAAATTTGGTATAACTAAAAAAAACATAGGTAAAAATAATAATTAAATTTTTTTAATCTATATCTTTGAAAAATATTGAAGCTCTACAAGTATTAGAGACTGCGACGTTGTTTATCGTTTTAATAATTGGTAGAATTCGCTCACTGTATCATGGTAATTTTAAATATAAACAATTTATTATACTTATTATCAGTAACGCCTAAGGTTAAATGTTATAAACGTAAATTAAAAGTAAAGAATTGATATTAATTTACAATAATAAACAATTTATTATTGTTATTTTTAAGAGAACATAGAAAGTACACGTAGTGTAAATGCGAGACTGCATTGTGACGTCATAAGCTTAGTCCCACCCATTTATGGACGTCACGCAGCTCCTCCTACTGAACTTTGTTGATGCAGCCTATTCTGCGCTTTTACCTAATTTTTTTCTAGTTGTTTCATAGATGGCATCAAAAGCTTGTTCCTAATCGAAATTTTAACCGGGTTATTGCATCTATACGGATCGACATCACTGTCTGAAATTGGCATTTTATTAACTATACATAACCTTGAGCTTGTGATATCTGATTTCCAGATATTTTTAACACTGGAATGAAAGGTTCTGTTCCAGTGAGAAAGAGATATTTCTCTGTTATCGGGATTGGATTTAGAAATCCATGCATGTGCATATGCATATTAAACATATGCATATTAATTTAATTTTAGTGAAAATGATATATTTAGTGTTTTCCTTTTTAACATCTAAAGAAAGAGTACATATTTTTAATTTAAAATTCTAATTTTTAAACTAATACATGATATATTATTATGTATTAGTTTAAAAATAACCCATATCCTTAAAGGAGCCAAGTTGGCGCAACCATGGGTGTTCTCCGAAGAATATCCGAAAATAGCCTGACGTCAGGTCTAATGTAGTCATAAATTTAGTAGAATGAATTCTTCTATTTCATCAGCTATCGGGAAGGGATACGTGGGGTATTTCGTTACAGTATTTAACTCGCGATAATCAACCGCGAACCTGCATGAGTTCGGGTTGCGGGTGGTAAACCATTTTACTTCCTGCAAAGGACCACAGGACTCGCATAGAGACTGGTGCTTGGTATAATTATTTTGCTATGAAGCATTTATTTATGTGCTTTTCCATGATATCTTCCTTTACGCGGTCATACGTGTAAGGCTTAGACCGGACTGGAGGTGCATTGCCAGTATCAATGCCCCATCCGCTTGCTTACCAGTCATTCGACTTTTTTCTTTCGTCTTCTTCGAGATGATTGAATTCAGTAAAGGAAAATTCAGTACCCTCATGATAATTGGAAAATTCATTATTGGATGCATGTTTTGATCATCTTGTATTACTTCTGATATTCTGTTCCTGAGTATATGGCTATATTTTCTTTTGGTCTGTCTAATTGGGATTTTGTCTCTTAAGAATTCTTAGTCAACATGGGAAAATTCTCGTCTGTCATTCGAATTTATCTTTCTGTCTGCTTGTCCTGTTTTCGGAGTTTTGGAAGGTTCTTGATGTTTTCGGAATACACTCCATAATTTCTCAAATAATCTGCAATAAAGACAAGAAGGAGTTTTTCTTTCTTTAGAAGGCATTCAGCACATTTGTGGCTTAAACTACATTTCACACATTTTGCATCACTGAGGCACAGATGCTGTGTGCTTCCAAATCTCTGTCATTTATAGCACTAGATTGGCCCATTTTCTTCGGTCTGAATTCATCTAGCTTACTTTAATGACTAGAATGTTATTTGCATGGCTTTTCCTGCTTCATTCTTTCAAGAATATGTATCGGCAGTTTTTCAGTAGTAACTTCATTTTTTTTCGAAAATTATTTTACCCGTATCATGGGGAGGAGTTTGGCTTCTTCAGACATTGTCTTGGGAATTCTTTTCATAACTTTTACTTAGTTGTCGTTTTACTCTGATATGAATGAAAAGGAATGTTTCTTTTCTGCAGAATTCGTTCCATTAGTGATCGGGCAGTGGGGTTTTATCGTGTAGATGAAAAAGGAAATTTTCTTCCTTCTGCTTCAACTTGATCTGTTCCAGTAATTATTTGTTTAGCTCGCACCAGCCAGCGTATTCTTTTATTCTCTATCAACAAATCACTTAAGAGTGAAAATTTGTTCCGCTGTGAAATTTCAGTCATCTCCGCAGAGGCAAATCTGGCCACTTTCTTTGGGGATTTCCAGCTTGTTTTATTTTACTTTCAGTCTTCATTTTCTTTATCGATTTGTTCTGAGACTCCGAGCCACTAATATTATTTTCTTTATCCTCTCTTTTTCTAAAATTTCAGCCCTGTTTATGTCGAATGCATTGGCTATCTTTATGAATTTTCCTAGCTCCAAGACTTATGCTAGCTAAGTACGTAGACGTTAGCTTTAATACTATATTGTACATATTCTAGCGTAAATTTAAATAATGGATCATTAACTGCTACACCAATAACTCTTCTATATTCTTCTTTCGAGTGCTTTAATCTCTGGTATATTTCTAGGAATTAGTGAATCATTGCTTTGACTTTTTTTTTTTTTATCTTGTCCAGTTTTCTCTGAAGAATTCATTCGCTTTTAATTTCTTCTTTATTTTTGTATCTGTTTCTGTGTTTTGATTTTTTATCTTCAATTTTTAAACTTCCTGAGACTTTTGATATAACAGACTTGTCATCAGAATCTTCTTACATTTCTTCATTATCATTTCACTCTCTGAATAGAGCCATCGATCAAAAGCGTTCAGAATTTATCCACAGAAAGTTAAAACCAAATAATTCTCACAAATTGAGAATTTTATTTTTAACGGAAATATTTGTCATTTCCTTTTTTATATCTTTCTCAGCGTGCATTCGAGATTGAAAATATCACGAGGGCAACAGCCAACCGTTTGTTGCCAAGTTATATTTCAGAAGTGTTGGGAGTAGATGGTACTGATGGTGTATCCTTAATCCTATTACGAAATCCGCCGAGGAAAGGGAGATTTATCTCGATTATTAATTTGCTTAGTAAGTATGTACTTAAATTTACAAAATTTTTGTTAAAGCTCATGGGTAATCACAGAGTGAATTTCTCTTAAGAGCATATTTTATGACGATTAGTAATAAGTGAGGAAGGAAATAGCATTTACAGTTTAATTAGGAAACTCGAATTTTAAAATATAAACATGTACAAGTTTTTCATTGTTTCATTAGCATGAAGACTAAACTTATGGTTTAAAAATCTTTTTACATAATACATATAACTTTACCGGCATGTCAAAATTGCCGGCTGAGGAACTGATATCGTGCCTTTCGTGAGACAAGACTTAAAAATTTCATTTCGATAATTGTTCTTTTGGATGGCTATTTTCTGCACGATTGAAATGTTACTTTTGTTTCGTTAATTTTTTAATGGAAATAAACAGAAAATAAATGAAATAAATAGAGCTCCGAATCATTGAAATATTAAAAAGGCTATAGTAACGATAATAAATGTTCCCATCCTCTGCGTCAGCCTGAGCTATTTAATTATGTAAATACAGGAATAATATTTCGTCCATATTCTCTTGCGAAATTTTAATTTGTGGTATCCAGAATTATATCTTGAACTTTCTTTTCATCTTCAGCGTAATATTGCTAATTTATAATACTTATTAATTAAATTAGAATTCTAAAGAGTGAGTGACTTTTATTGCTAAATGGAGCTTTTAATATAAATGTGTGTACTTTTAAAATTAAATTTTTAAATGTATATTCAGTCTAAAGGATCAGTGTTTTTAGTATTATAGGTATAAAATGTAGTGTAAATGTTTAATAATGTTTTTATATGCTTTATTTAAAATTTTTGATTTAAATTGTTTCTAAACAGTTTGATTAATCCAAATTCTTAATGTAATTTAATAAGATGCAGTACAGGATATTAGCATTAAATTTAATTTAATTAGCTGCAGTACAAAATAATAGCTAATACTGCATTCTAGTAATTGAAATTTAAGGTTTGATAATTTTTTTTATAAATTGTGAAATATATGTATGCAAAATTTTATTTTGAAGTCTATCTAATTTTTTTAAGCTTTACAATATAAAAAATATTTTGCAATATTTGTACTCTGGCAGACAGGTCTGTAACTACATTCTTTACCAGAAAAATCTCTTTAAAATTTTGAAATTAAAGATGTAGTTTTTGCTTTGTGTTTTGGTAGACTTCTTCATGATTTGCTAGAATTAAGTTTTACATCTGAGGCCTTCATATACTCAAGTTTATAGCTATATTATGTATTATTTAAATGTTAGCTGGTATTTTCTGTTACTGGGATCAGATCCAGAAATGTATGTATTTATGTACATGCATATGTACATAAACACATATACACTCGCATAAATACATACATTTCTAAATCTTGTTCCAATAGCAGAAAAGTACCATTCATTTTAAAATTGGTTGATCTTTACAATATGGTAACTGGTAGTTTGGTGACATTTTGGAGGTGATAAAGGTTACTACCTGGGACTTTGGTAATAATGTGAGCAGTACTCAGTTCCGATTACGCATTATTTTGCGTGAGGGAAATGAGAGATCATGGGATATGTCATGTGATATTAATGGACAAATTAAACGGTTCTTTAATCGGAAAAGGGGGGAAATCGGAAAAAATGTGGAAATTTTGTTATTTAGCTTTATTCTGTGTTTTATTCGTGTATTTATTCGTGTTGTGTGAAACGTGTTTGTTAATTTTTGGATCCCCATGCCTTAACTAAAGTGAATTCGAAATGGGTATTTAGGCATTGTGATAAGAGAAGTTTGCTTTTTATTTAGCGGAGGAAGTATGGAGGAAAATTCGCAGAAAAAATATTTCAATATTTTATTGAATAATTAGAAAAGTGTATCCGCCACGTAATCAAGATTCTGAAGAGATTAGGTAAGTTAGTTTTTTATTTCTTTTTTTTGAGGATATTATTTTTATGCATTGTTCTAAATGTAAGGTGGAAAGGAATTTGGTATTATTGGGAAAATTGTTATTAGCAATGATTTAGTTTAAAGTAATTAGGATTGTAAGTAATTTTTTTAATTTAAGTATGGGCTCATTTATATTTTAAGTAGTGTTTTTGAATTTAATTATATTTTAATGAATGATTTATTTTGTGAATTTTATGTTGTAGGAATTTGGTATACGTTAAGTTGAAATAACTGCATGGAAATAATTAAATATTTGAATACTAAGTATTTGTAAGGCTTGCGGTATGAATTCGTTGGTGACGTGTATAATGTAATAGATTGATTAGAAATAAAGTTTTTGGATATTTTATTTATTTTATATGTGGAAATGTTCATATTGGAAGGTAATACTTTTTCCCGATCAGGTAATTTCATATATTCTTTTTACCGGGTTTAAAGATTGAGAAAATTGTCATGTATTTCGTGAAATTTTTCTAATTTAAGAAAAAAGCAGTGTACATGGATATAGTGAGAGTGTGCGCAATGCCATTTTGTGCAATTCTGGGATTTTTTTTTTGAGTAAAAATAGTTGGCGTGTACATGGTTTATGTGTATGTGTTATTTTGAAAAACGCGTAGGAGTATGGATTGTGCACTTTTTCCAATTTTGCAGTGAAATTTGTCATGATTAGCAGTTTTGTTTGATAAAATTTCTAGCATAAAGTGTAATTCGGCTAGTAGATTGTTGGAAGAAGTGTTCAGTAGATAAAAGAAAAGAAACATGTCTTTACTTCGTGAAGACAAAATGGCGGCGTGGAACAAAAAATAGAGGGTTGCTGTAGGAGAGTTGGTTGCCAAATTTTCGCCAAAAAATCGCCAAGTTACCATAATGTAAAGATCAACCTTAAAATTTTTTGAAGTTGCATTTAATAAGAAAAGTACCTAAAATAGTTTTTTTAATTTCAATCTTGTGTACTGAATTATACTAATTAGAAACTAGTTATGAATAACTGATTTGAAAACTGCATGTTTTAAAATTATTTTGTTTTATTTGGAAAGAATAAAGCTAGACAATGGAAACCTTTTAGCTCTAGTGTAGAATTGGGGGATGGGAGCCCTTCGATTAGCGACAATTTTTTAAAAAAATTTTGGTGATGAAACCTCACTTCTGGTTTTAACTTTATTTTAGTTTCCGGATTTTATTTAAATAATACAAATACATTGATGTGTACGTGGACAAATTTAAGGCAGTGAGTAATGCCTAGTTTGTGCAAATCTAGGATGTTTTTGTGTAGCAGCTATCTTGAAATTGTGCCTTCCTGGTGCCGATCTTGGCGTCAAAAAAGAATGGCCAAGAAACAAGGGACACCCAATTGTAAATTTTTACCAACCTTTTTTTTCTTTTTCTTTTTCTTTTTTTTTCTTTCTTTTCTTTTTTTTTTTTTTTTTAAGGTGAAAGAAAAAGAATTGTTAAAATCAAGTGAAAATTTGAATGTATAAGTATTCTTCTGTTATCAGGACCGTATTCAGAAATGTATATATGAGTGTACACATAGAACACATATATCCATGCATTTCTGACTTCGATCCCTGATAACAGAAGAGTACCAAAATGTGCTCCAAAATAACAACATTAACTAAAAAAGTGAAGAGAGAATCTTAAAAAAAAAAAAATATTGCTAAGTAATACAATACCTTTTTGTACCTTTTATTTAATTTTTCTTCATTTCTTGGGGGGGAGGGAATTACATCATAGAAATTTAAAATAAATGTTTGAGGATATTCATAGAATTTAAAAAGAAAAAAAAGTTCTGTTGTATGCATATATGCATAATCTGTGACAAAGTAGGTTTTGTGATTTATCTCCCATAGAACATTTTTTAGCAACTGAAGGTATGTTGCAGAAAAATAAAAACTCTGGTTAATCTTTACTGTACAATATCCCTTGGTTTTTGTCTGAAAAAATCACCAAGTGGTATTGGTTGTTCGTGAAATCTGGCAGCCCGCTGTGTGAAATGGGTTTTTCGGTAACCCTACTATTTGTAATGTTGAGGAAAATTTTAGTTTTTATCATTAAAAGGGGTTATTTCTGCGAATATCGCCAAACGTGTTGCAATAAATTTAGATTTTGGCTTTTTTTCTGCAATAGTAACTGTTTCGTATGGACCTGGGTTTTTGGTTTGTAACATTCTTTCCAATTTCTGTATTTGGTTGCATGTGCATGGTATGGTTTTGTATTTTGAACTTGCTAACATTTGAAAAGGATTTGCATCTTTAAACTAAAAGATGGAAAATAATGAGATATTGGTGAAAGAATAAAATGGTTACAATTGAACCTTCAGTCAAAAGATGGCACTGGCCATTGCACTGCATTTCTGATATCAGAATTATGAGTTGCTGCTACGTTTGGCAGGATCCTCGGTGAGGTCAAAATGGAATTTTTTGCCGAAGAGATTTGAAGAATGACTAGGGTAACTGTAGCAACACCACATTAGGATTTAAATAACACAGTGCCTTAAGCTATGAACATCTGGAATAATGGAGAGTAAAAAAATACTTCTGTAGGGGGTCTATAGACGTTTTTCAAAGCAGAAAGAAAATGCAGTGATTATGTTAAAGAAAATACTACCATCTACTTCTGCAGTGTTAAGCACTGCAATGAATTAATATTTTCTGTTCATTCTTTGTCTTCTGTAGATTTAATGAATTTCAATTGCAGTATCTAAAGACTATATGCTTTTCGATAGTATTAGAAACTCTAGAAAAAAAAATTATTAATAATCGAATCTAGCTTTTTATCCCCCCAGAAAGTAAGTATTATATTGGTTGTATTTTAATTCTTGTCTTATTAAGGAAAGACATTATAAAATTTTTACCACATAAAGGAAAGTGGTAGGAGCAGTAAAATAACTACATAAATTAGATGCATACATACTTTACAACTGCACATACATTCTGACCAAATAACAATTCTAAACCAAATAAATGTGTAACTCATGTTATGTATATTAATGTTAATAGATTGGAAGACACTTTATTCATTTCTAAAATAAACATTTGTATCTTAATTAAAATATTCGTTGTCACTAGTCTGAGGTATATCTGAAAGCATAGAAGCTGTATAGAATACATTTAAAAAATAAAAATAAATATCTAAGTGAACACATTGATAGAGTGAAGATATTTTCCTCTCAATATGTGTAATGAGAACCAGGAAAGGAGTCTTGAAGAAGTGAGGTCGTTCTTTGCTACCTTCAGAAGCAATATGAAAAACTATTGAAACATGATCATGGAATATGCAGAATTTTGAAGATATAGTATGTAACAGCAGACTTCTTCAATACTTAACTGCATTTTTTATGTAATAACATACTGTTAAATTCACGTATATTGAAAGAATAGGCAGACATTTGTCAGCATACTGCCTTAAAACATGAAAGAACTAGATAATTAAGTACACATTAAAATAGGATATTACTTCAGAACTTTTAACCGAGAGACAAAATAAGATACCTTCTGAAGAGTTTTGGCACTTCGTACGTTTCAGTTTCATGAAATTTTAGGGAATGTATTTTAGACATTATTTTAGTGCAAATAAATTATCATTTTATTGGTTTGACAAACGTGAAAGATCATTTGTATTTTTTGGAACCTCATTATATAATCCATGCTAAGGAAATTGAATTAATACAAAAATGGGATAATTTAGTAGATATTTATTCTGGAATTTTGTTGCCAGAATTTACGTTACAATTTATGACCATTCAAGAATTTTGGAACTTAATGTTAAAAAGGTCTTTACTGGAAGGCAACATCTTTTAAAATGTATACAGTTTTCTTACTTTTTTAAGCTTCCTGTAACTGTTGCTCAGTTGAAAAATCATTTTAAAACCTGAAAACCACTAAAGATTACAGAAGAAATAGGACTGGATAAACACAGTTCAACTATCATATTCTTGTATGTTTTTAAACTAGAAAGTAGACAAAAATTTGGGGTAAAAGTATATGTACGGGTGCCCCTTGGCGAAAAATTGCGATTTTTGGCGGTACATGGATGCCAAGTTTGTGCAATTCCTTGACTAGGCACTGCGCACTCCCTTGACGTTTTCTATGTACACATTGACCTATTTTCACTTAAAAAAAATATCTTAGAATTGTACAAACTTGGCATTGCACGCTCCCTTGGCTTTGTCCATGTACACATCGATGTATTTTCACTTAAAAAGTGAAAGGAGCACCCAATTCTAGGTAAAAGTATATTTACAGAACATTCAATTACTCAGGTTACAATAAAGGAAACAACTTGGTGATAAATGAAATGCCAACTTGGTGATAAATGAAACAACAACTTTGCGATAATACAAAGGGTACTTATCAGTCTACTGTAACTAAATTTAGGAACTACTCTTATACACGCATTCGATTGGAAACAAATTTCTCTCCAAACATTTTTGGCAAGAAACTCCATGGCACCATGTTATTATCTAAATGTTTTGTCTACATTTCGAACTTTAAGCCTAAAATATCTCTAAAAGTGTGGTTTTCTCGCATGTAAAAAACCAGGTTTTTAACTCGCAATTTACGCCGAAAATCCGAAACAAATAATTTAGATAACAAAAACGTGCAGTTTCTAACCAAAAATATTTGACAAGAATCTGTGTACATAGCCATCTGTTTTAACTTAAAAAGATATCAGAGAATTGCACAATCTGTGCAGCATAGGAATCTATGAATTATGCACACCTCACGAAAATAAACTAACATTAAACTAACAATAAATTTCAAACAATACCATGTACACAGTGTTGAGTTTTAACTTAAAAAAAAAATCATCAGTGAATTACACAATCTAGGCATCACGCACAGCCTCAGCATTGCTCACAAATCAGCAAAATAAACTAAAATACATTACAAACAACTCAGAAAACAACAATAATGACAGAAATTCATAGCAAAAAAACAATGAACATAACATTCTAAATAC